GAGCCCCACGTGGCGTCCGCACGGGCACTCGGGCAGCGCCGCTGCTGCCTGAGGAGCGTTAGCACGACTCGCACGGGGGGCTCGCGGGGTGCGCTCGGGCCGCGTCGTCTTCAGGAACAAACGAAGGGACCTCAGGGCACCGATCTGTTTTCTGAGGTACGTTTCATTCTGTGAAGCTACAGGACTCTTGTCCCCAGCCCTTCCAAAAGCTCTGCCCCCATCTCTTCTGTACCAGGGCAGGGATAACTGCTCAACAGCCACCTCTGTCCCCTCTCCGCTCCCTCCTCCACGCTTACCAATTGCTCTTCCATGTGTGCCGCACATCTGTGTCATGGATGCCGTGCTTATCTGCTTGCTCATCCAAGAAATCGAACATGTACTTTATGGCCAGGGGGAGCGCGCTGCCTCGGTGCACAGTGCTGAACAACGTCTCAAACAAGTCGTCCACAAATTTCTGCAGTGTACCCTAATGGGAGCAGCAGCCAACAAGGTGAAGGGCAGGATGTACACACGCTTGGTTAACCGGCAACGGCAGGAGGGACTCCAGATGGTGTTACTAGCTCGGCACAGCCCCACAGACCTATAGCTATGGATCCCGCAGGAATCGGTGAGGTCTACTTCTTTAGCAACAGTGACTGCACTGTGCAAGGGCTCTGGGGTAATATTCTGGGCTGCAGTTGCTCATGGCTGCACTTACTCTCTATTTCTAAGGTGAAATACAGTTTCTTGTGCTTTCCCAATCAAATCTGTGCTATCTACAGCGATGAACGCACAGTGAACGGCAGGAAGACGATCCCTGGCAGAGGAAGCTGGTTAAGTGTTTACAGGCACTGTGGTGTCTTTCCAACTCTTAGAGTTTTAATACCTTGGAAAAGAATGAAGTATTACAGCTGTAACATTAACGTATAACTGTAACCGTAAGGTTGCAGTATTAGGAAATCAGGGCAGTTTCTGTCTCCGTACCAGTGTGCTCCGGTGCAGGGCCCCGGGGAGGCCAGGACTGCAGAGCAGGAACGATCCTTGACTGGGAGATGAGCTTCGCTAATGAATGTATAAGACTAGTCAAGGGCCAGCAGGGCATCGAGACACACCTCTCCACTCATTTCGCAAGCAAATATAAGTGTATGACAGTTACCTTTGTAGCTAATAACCTAGTCAGGTAGATCTCAGACACCATCTTACTGCCCCGGTCCCCTTCCTTCTGGTCTCCATGATCATGGTTTTTGACCAAGTGCCAGACTTTGACCCCGCTCTCCAGGTCCGGGGTGATCATGGGAGCCCTGGAGCGCAGGCTGTCTGGGCTGCCCGTGTACCGGAAGGTAGAGTCTGGAAGACAGGAGGAGAAGTTGGTCATGCTCAATAGAAGCAATTTTTCGCATTTACCTGCCCCTCCTCAGTGATGCCATTATGCTCATTAATGCCCAAATCCTCTGCACTGGCTTTTTTGCAGGATAACAAAATGTAATCCAACACAGATACCAACAAAATGGAAACATCTGCCAAAAGCTACCACGTCCTTTGAAATGAGATAAACACTAGTCTTCACTGAACACGGAGTCCCTTAGTCTCAGGCCTTTCTCTTCTCTCACTCAGATGTGGAACTTGTCCTAATTCATTCACATCCTTTACTTACAGGGGCCGAAATAGTACAGTTCCACAGAAGATCCCTCCACGAGTTACAACTCCTGGACATTAACCCTGCGCATGAAAGCGTGCAGCATCAGAGGCTTAACGTGGGTATTGTGTAACTAATAACAAGCCGCCAGACACAGTCAACACAAAGGGCAGAAACCACGAATCACGAAAGAAGCAGCTCTGTTCCTGAGGCTTTCATCAGAGCAACAAAAGATCAAGCCAAGTGCTGACTGCAGTCCAAGCTGCAGGCTGGCAACGCATCCCACCCTGGCTGTTTCATCCTCTGGGCCCGAGGGGATGCGCTTCCCGCTGACCTCCCTGCTCCTGCCCTCCTCGCCAGCCAGGGAGGGCAAGTTCCAAGTGGAGGAGCCAAAGGCTTTTCCCGTAATCGCTCAAGAAACCCAGGGTGTGACGTGCGATATATTTAACTTCCCAAAGAACTTGCCTCCCTGCATCCCATCCACAGGGGCAGAACAGCTCAGCGAGGCCAACGCATAACAGCGCATCGTTCACTTCTTCTCTCGCTCAACTTCTTTGTTCCCCGAGAACCTCACGCATTTTCTCAGTTTAGCCTTCCGGTTTGCTGCTCACCCTGCCCAGCAAGGGTAAGGGGATCAATCATAAACCGGCAGAAGGAAATACGCGAGTCATTACAAAACTAGCTAGACTTTCATCCCTGATTAAGGCTTAGATAAATGAGTATTCCAGCTGATGTAATTAAGGAGAGAGATGGGGGACAGCTAGGGAAGCATCTAGTAATTCTATTTTTAAACATAGCTCCTTACTGATATATAGTGGGGAAAGTAAATAAGTATCTCATTTAAATTCTGTCTGCACAATTAGAAGTATTAATTTTAACATGAGTGATGATAATTCATATTTGTAGTTTGCCAAGACTTCTCCATCTGACATAGATCAATGAGAACTTCAGACTCGCGTTGGGTGACCCAGCTTGGATTTTTCCATCACCTGAAGAGTGGGAAGCACTGGGCGCTCTTGGGTGGATTACACTCCGCAGTGAGAAACGGCCTTTTCTCTGATACACAGAGCCTGACACAGCTTTTGCCTAAAGACTCTCTTACCACTTGGATGGCTTCTCAGCACCCTTGCTTGAGAAGAAAATTACTCTGGGAGCTATAAACAAGCCAAGGAGGCAAGTTTGTCTAGAGAGCTCTCATTTGCAAACACTGTGTAAAATGAAGGATAATGAAAGATCAGCGTGCGAGAGAATTTGCCACTGCTACCTTTTATGGAAGCATATTATTACTATTATTGTGGATGTAGCGCTATAAATGCACACCTGGCACCTAACAGACTCATTTATTCAGAGTGTAAACTCTTTAGGGACCATCTGTAAAGTGTCTAGCCATGCTATCAAGCAGATAATATATTCCCAGGTGTGTGAATCCTGGCATGCTGAGTGACAATTGTTGTTACCCATTTTTGACCCATTAGCCAAGAATTCAGGATCTTCCACTCAGAGGAGAAGCTGATGAGGGAATCGGGTATTTCTCTCCTGCAGCCCAGCGCGCGTGAACGGACGCGAAGCCGGCTGCTAGACTCGGGCAGCAGCAGATATCCAGCCCGTCAGCCAGAAGTCTGCCTCTCGCCTTTTCTAAGAGGCGCATGCCCAAAGGCTGCCCCGGCGCGCCTCGCTTTTCCTTCTCCCCTCCTCCCAGCCTCTCTCGTCTTTCTGCTGCTCTGCTCCGAGGCAGAAAAAAGCCTTTGCAGAAAACCAGGAGCCAATGACGCTTTTCTGGCAGGTCCGGCACACGTACTTTCGTTTTGGGCCACGTGAAGTGGCTCCCTGGAGGAAGCCGCTGCTGTTTGTTCACCTGCTTCCCTCGGGTGCTGCCCTCCCGTGCCAAAGGCAGCCTCAATACCAGCCCCCCCAAGACATTTGCTGCTCTCCATTAAAACCAGGGGACGCTGTGGGCCGGCACCGACGTGCTCGCTTCCTGCACAGCTCCGGGCTGCCTCCAACATTGTTAAGTGCAGCAACAAGAACAGCAGGTCGCTGTCTGTGAACCACAATTTCCCGCCACTTAACTCCGCATCTCACCGTATCTGCTGATAGACGTTCGGGATATGCTGGCGGAGGCAGGAATATTGTAAGAGGAGGTCTGTTTGGGAACGAGAGCCACCACTGAGCGGTCCGACACCTGGGGAGGCAAAGCAAGAGAAGGAAAGATCAGCAAGACCCGCTTTCCGCACCGAGGACCCCGCTGCAGCGAGCAGCGACCCCCAGGGCCCAGCAAGGAGCTCAAGGGGAGAAAGTCCTGCTGGTTCCCCCATGCTCTTTAAGGGAGAGGTGCGCTCCTTATCTAGTCGAACGCTGTAGTGGGCCAGGGCTAGTTCAACAGCAAGGGACTCTGAAGGAAAGGGGTGATAAATCAAAAGACATATTGAAGATGTTTTGGGTCGTTCTGATTTAAGATTACATTTTATCCAATAAAAATGGAGAATCTCAAGAACTGTTGTGATCCAATTAAAGTAACAATGCAGAGGGAATAAAACAGCTATAATAATGTTATGGACCATAAAACATTCCCATTAAACCATTTTTTATTTTAACAATTTTTATGAACTTTAGAAGTTTGATTTGCAGCTGAATAAGTCATAAAGCCATCTTTAAGGTATTAAATTGTCAGTCTCTCTGTTGCACCAGAGAAGGAATTAAATGCTGGGAAGTCAAACTATAAATGAACATTAGTGCTAACAAGATTCTGTTATAGCAGATTTTAGTAGGCATGTTTAATTTTACCCTCCCTGTAAATCTAGTAGTCACTGGAAGCTTTTTAACTTATTTTGGTTAATTAGGAACGTGCAGGTTTGCAGGGAACAGCCCTGAGCATCTCTCAGTTCTGCCCTCGGAGCCCCACGGCACAGCGCGGCAAGGGAAGGGGAGGGAAAGCCACCCGCCCTTGGGTTGACGTACCCCTGGGATGGGGCCAATGAATTACTTAGAGGAGCTACACGCAAGAAACTTCTCTTCTTGCCAGAGAAATTGCTTTTGGGATCGAGCCCTCCATTATTTACTAGGAAGGAGCATTAGTCCATATACATGGAAACCTGTGAGAGCAGGCACCGGAGAAGAGAGCTCCTCGAGGATTTGTCCTCCTCTGCCCTTCCAAACCGCGGCACGTGCCCGTCCATCACCCGCCACCGGTGACGGAGCCTCTCTCCGCAGTGGCCTGCCCGACCACACCTGGCTGGCTGGCTCTCTGCTTGGTGTGATCAAAGACACCTTCCTCTTTTCCTCTTAACTCACTCCCTGTTTCTGGACCGCTGCTCACAACGCTCCCCTTCCCGCAATCAGTGTCACAATGCCAGCCATGCCCTGGGGCAACTGCTCTGTCCAAAGCCAGTGCTCCACCAAGCTGCTCTCCGTCAGGTATTTAAAATCAGGATCCAGGGAAGTTCACCTGGGGGTTTCAGGCAAACTCCAGAGTAGGAACTACACGTTGCTTCGCGGGAGTCTCCCCATACCATCAAGAGAAGGGGCGTTTGTACGACTCCAGCCACTGCAACACAAGCTGCGTGCTCCACTTAGCAACAGAACAAGCTTTAATGCATAATGCTCCCTGCAAGGCTTGGATTCTGTTAAAATGAAAGGTTTAACATAAATGAGAGCTATTATTATTGCTAGTGAGAGTGCAAATAATAGTCACTTGCACTTCACAGTGCAAAAGTGAGATATTTCTAAGCAAAACACTTCAAACACCTCTGTTATTTCCTTTTCTATTCCTGCCTCACTTCATCCAATTTATTAAGTCAATGGAAGAAACGATCAGCGGTGATATTATTTTCTTAGGCTGTTATTAGCTGCCACTTCAGTTCAGTTTCACCCTGGAGAAACCTGAGCGCTCCAGCGCGCGGGATGCAAAGGCAGCCCTGGCTTCTCGCACGGAGGCAGGAATTCCCAGGCTGCCGTGCCGGGGTACAATTTCATCAGCGCTGTGGTTAACTAGCAGAGAGGTATTACAAACTCCGCGCACACAGAGCACTCTCGCTCTCTAAACGTTGGGTCGAATGACTCTTGTCAGCTAAAAAACACCAGCGTGCAAATTAGCATCAGATGTAACACACATTCCTTCCCCAACTTACTCTGCTGTTGCCACAATCCCATAAAACCCTAGAGACGCTCAAGAAGCTGGCTGACTGTTTTACAACTTTATAAATATTCCGATTCCTCCACTATCTGGAAATGTGCTGCACAAAACACCTTAAAGAAAGGAAAAAAACGAGGCTGGGGAGAGCGACAGTCCAGGAGTCCAGCTGACACTGCCCACACGGACACAAGCAACGCGACCCAGCCCCAGGCAGAGGCTCCACGGCCAAGTTGGTTCCTGGATCTCATTTTCTACACAAATCTTCCCTCCCTGCTTCTAATTCTTCATTTAGAACAGTTTTCTAATCTCTGAGCCCTTCCAGACTCCCAGTGGCCGACAGGTATTCATGCTTTGCTGCCTCTGAGTTAACCCTGCGTGAGCCACTGTAAATCATTTGATATTAAATTCAGTGATTCGTTTTCCTTGAGTAAAGCCACATGGGGCCGAGACTCTCCCATCAAATTTAATAGGCACGAAACCAAAAGGATACTACACAAATGAAATACGATTCTTTACAACTTCGTGGAAAAGCTCCAGAGACTTTAACAAAGAATTATACCTATTTAACCTATAAATCTATTTTTATAAATGAAGAAATAGCAGCAGGCATATAGTTCTATAAGGCTGTTCAAAAATATTACAGAAAGACTAATATTTCTTTTTAAATCCAGTCTGGCTTTTACATGTTAAGGTCTCCCACGAAAAAAACATTTTATCAGTCGATGCAGATATATGGTATACTTTTATCCCCCTAAACATGTAGAAAATAAAGATACGGTGTAAAAATCTAGCAGAGAAATGTGGAGTGAAGACAGTCTTGGAATTAAATAATTGTCCTATGATCAACCTCATCACCCTGACATGGAGCACGGTAGGAGGCAGGCTGGTCCAGTCCATGGCAAGAGTTGGCCCCCAATCCTGGAGGAGCAGCAGGGAACAGGGCTGCCAAGCGAACAAAGCCCAGAAATCATCAGACGCAAGACTACGCCGCTCATGGACTTCCTGGTTCTTGCTCCAATGCTTACTCCTAGGTAATGGTGCATAACAGTATATGGCAAGGGGAGAGACATCTGACCAAGCAAAGGAAAAAACAGTTCTGAATAAAAGATGGAGATAGCTTTGCAGAGCAAGGATTTATTGTTTCTAGAAATGGGTGGATACCAACTTCATTGGTCCTCCAAAAGTCGGAGGAATCTGGATTTCATTTTCCTGGCTTGAACCACACTTGCTTTATAGCAGCTAGTTTTCCCTTCTCCGAGTTCCTGCTGGTGACAAGATTCCCTGGCTACTCCTTTGCCCGGCCCCGTCTCTTTACTCGGACGCTCTTAAATGGTTAAAATGGTGGAAGAGCAGCGCTTGAAGCCCAAATGCTTTTATACCCTCTTCTAAGCTATGCCTTCGCCCGCATATTTGTTTTACTGTGTAGTTCTGGAGCATCTGTATTTCTGATACCTAATAAAAACATTCATTACTCAAACAGGAAAAAAAAACAGTAGGAACAGGAAAAAAACTGCTATTTGTATTTGGCAAAAGCCCCGCCTTGACAAGATTTCTGTTGCAGTGCAGAGAACTTGGCTTCTTTTTATGGCTTCAACGCTTCTATTCCCGCTGCTCAGAGTTCTGGCCCGAGCTAGGAGAGACATGTGCAACTGCTACCTACTTAGATATTTGGCAGCAAACTTTTACTTTGTTCTGGAGCAAAACTGACATTTAAATGGTAGGAATAGCTGCTGCGTCTTGAGCGCTGTAAGAATTTCGTTTATTTTAAGGGTAAAGTTATGGCTCAGATTTCCCACAGGCACTAACATGAAAGTACTGCCTCCCCTAGCACCCCACACACATCAGGCAAATCTGAATTTCACTTCTGATTTCCTTAGATGACTTTTAAAGATCAAGGCATAATAAAGTCTTACTGCTTCCCTGCATGTTGGGTAATCCCTTGCAACTGTCAGGTAAAAGAGATTTTAAAAACCAACAATGGAATTCATATGCCCAGCTCCCACGAGATTTTTAAGGTAATCTGTGTTTAAATCCTTCAGGCTGCTTGGAAAAGTTGCCTCTAGAGCAGCTTTTTTACACGCACTTTGCATATTTATGCCATTCTCTCTGCCTCACTCCCTGATTATATGGCTGCTGTCAATACTGGCTCGCATTCAACTTACACAGCAGGAGTCACGCTGATGGACTCGAGACGGTGTATAAACAGTGAAAGATGCCAGATTAAATACTAAACACTTTGGTGTAGATAGTGATGGACAGTAGTAGGTTACAGGCCCCAATTAACGCAGTTATCTTCTGCTGCAGACAGGCCTTTGATTCCTCTTATCCAAATTCTCTTCAGCTCTTTCTTCACCTCTTTTTGCATTTTTCACACACTGTTAGAAGCCCTTTCCAACCAAGACACGCCTATCCAGAACAGCCCGGGCTGCACTGGGCACTCAGGCTGCAAAAGTTAAAGATCGAAAAATTTTCTGAGGTCACCCAGTCCACCCTGGCCAGTGCAAAATAAAGCATCTTCACCGTCCAGCCTAATTGTATACTATTTCAGCGGCAAAACTCCTGTTATTTGCCCTGGAAGACTGGATCTGAAATTGAGGAGACTCGATGTTACTCTGTCAAGAAGTAGCTCCTGATATTCACCCTTACTTGACTTAGCTTCGTCCTGTAACTCACAGCAACGTTCCCTCGAGCCTCCTACGTGACAGTATTTGAAGTAAATCTTCCCTTTCCCTCCTTTGCTTCCTGTATGATGATCAGGCATCAACGTGTAGGAAGATCATGAGCGTGACAGAGCAGTTGCCACTGCAGCCTGGTGCTTTGGACCAGATTGCCTGTCTGATCATAATGTGTACGAGGCTTCAAAGGAAGGCAGCAACTCCTGGTCCTTCCCTGGTTGTGTCCCTGTTTGCCTGAGACCTCCTCGTAGGGCCCAGGCTCACCCACACACGCCACCCTCCCCGGCCCCGCATCTCCAGCAGCGGCAGCTCAGCCCTCTCCAATGCTCCGTCTATCTCACAAGCACTGCTGGCTTTTTTAATTTAGCCAATTTTCAACTCTGCTAGTTTCTTTAAGATCCACGTCAAGGTTGTTTTCCTCTTTAATGCATGAGCACACTGAGCCATTCTGGTTTATCATACAAACGTGATCTCCCTGCCTGCCTTGGTAGATGAGACACTTGGGAACTAAGTTTCTGCTTTTCTTTTCCTTCTAGTTGGCAGCTTTCTGGGACTTCTCTGCTGGGGCTGGTTTCTTACCTGATAATGCATCAAGGTGTTCAGTCGCTTCCAGTCTCCTTCGATCTTGGTGGTGATGTCTTCATCCTGCAGGACCACACGAGCTATCCTGCCCTGGCGCCACTCTACAGGAGAGACAAAAGCCAGGCAGACGTGATGGTCAGAGAGGCAAGAGATACTATCAAGTAACTACTTGACAGATGAGCCTATAGAAAAGCCTGTCTCCCAGTAAGAGGCATTTAGAGAAAGCTAAACTCTGTTCTTAAATCCTGCAACTATTATGAAGTTTGCACAGATAGCTTTCTTGCAGCTCAGTGCAGCATCGTAATCCCCCTCCTGGAGAAGTCAGTGGTGTTGAGCTAAGCTAAGCTAAGGTGCAGAACCTTTCCAGACCATCTGATCCCTCAGCTCTCGGAAGATACTCAGCCTTGCAGAGAGGCTTTGCTCAGCAGAGTCAAGGAGACTTAAGGAATTATTTGCTCACTGGGCAATGGAGAATTAGCTGATCCCACTGAGATCAAAACCTATCTGGCAGGAGCAGCAGCCACACTTGCTTGAGGCAGAAACGTGCGTATAGTTGCACAGGTAACCCGAGTCTCAATTCTAGCCTTCAAGCTCTGCAAATCCCACTAAAATCACTGATAATAACAATCTCTCTCATGAGGTAGGGAGGCTCCTACCCAAGTCCATGTCAACAGCTCTTGGTCTTTGAGAATATGGGACATTTTTGTATACTGCATCTAGGATCTTCTCTTTGACTTGAGTGATGGTATCACAGTTCAGCACCTTCACAGGGATCTCTGGACTGTTCTCATTATCCGGGTTCACACAGTTCAGGATCTGGAAAGGAAGGAGAGCCAGACCATTCTCTAAAGGGCTTCAGACAAGCATTTTGCAGAACAGTAACAACACCCATCACACAACAGCTAATTCTCATTAAAAAAAAAAAAAAAAAACGCTGCATCCCTATTTGCCTCACGGCTGTTGCATTTATTATAGCTTTAAAAAGATTATTAAAATATGAGTCCATTGTCCTTTGCTAGAGAGAGGATAATGGTCAATGCATGGGGAGATAAAATGCTCCCCTCAAACTCTGCCTTTCAAAACTTTAGCTGAGGCTATCTGTACATGCAAATTAGGGATATACCTAACTTGGGCATGGCTCTAGCAGCCAAAGGCTTTGCCTCAGATTTGTGGCTCTGTGAACATTACAGATTATTGCACTGTCTTCAGTGCTGTGGTTTATACTGGAGACTCGGTGGGAGCTCCACGGCAGTGCCCAAATCACTGGCCTAAAAGTCAGAATAGCTCACACCCAAAAGGGGAGGAAACAAGCAATTCAACTGCAGCCTCTACAGCGACCACTCACCAGAGTTTTGTACTCGATTTGCTGCCGGATCAACTTATCCTCGCTCAGGGAGTAACGAGCTTCTCCTGTGATGGCATCAATTGGACCTTTCTCCATCTGCTGCTTGATGGCACAGTAGAGCATGAAGAGGGGCTCTCCAGCACATTCCTGCACAACGAGACAGACAGCAAAACTAACACAGAGGTGAAGGTGCATCTCCTCCAGGGCCACTTGCCTGCCGACAGATTTTGCTCGTGATTAATTTCAGTGGATGCATAGTCCCCTTCACTTAATCTTTAGCACATGTGTAATCCAGGCTTGCAGTCTCCAGCAGTGCCTGGAGAGGACAGACAAAACCATGAGCTCCATTGCTCAGTGGGGATGTTGTCCTTGACTTGCTAAACCTTTATTGAACCTATCTGGCTGAAAAAAAGGGAATTTGAGATCTAGTTCTCATTGTTCACCCTCATGAGGCTAGTCCCGTGGTGCTTCCAAAAGCAAAAAAAAAAGTTAAATAAAAAAAACCCACACACAGAAGCCCAGGCATAGAGGTCTAAGTGATAATTGCCCCTAAGCACTAAGGAGGTGTAAGCACTCAAGAGGGTGATTCGTTTGGAGTGCTCTGGGGGATATAGCTAGGTGAAAAGAGGTGAAACCAAAGCCAAGGAAAGTTAAACTGAGCAGCAGAAAGCACGCTCCCAAGGAGGGAGATCCATTAACTTCTAAACAGGGCTCAGGGGAAGCGGCGGAAACTCCCTCACATGAAATTTTTCAGGCTACATTGAACAAAATGGGCAAAAAGGGTACCGTGCTGCACTGGCTAGGAGGCAGTCTAACTGCCCCAACCACTGCTCTCTGCAAAGCTCTCAGTAAAGCTCTCTTCTGCTTGCATAAACCTCTAGAAGAACTGGGCTGATGGCCTTCTGGTGGCTGGAGACTGCCACTCGCCAGGCACGCCCCGCTGCAGCTTTGCCGTGCATGCCGCATTGCAAACACTCAGCAGGCAGCCTCAGGGCTGACCAACGTCGTGCATGGAGGCGGTTCGCCTAAATTCAGCCTATTTAACAGCAGCGCCAGATGTAGGCGTCCTTGATCAAGGTCTCCAGCTCCCCTGCCTTGCTAATAAGTCATTTTACTTTGAGCCTCACTGAACAGTTTCCAGGCTAGATTCACCCGGTGGATGGCTGGATGAGAGCTCTGGAAACAGGAAAAGACAACAGCAAAGGGGCGTACGAAGGTCTCAGCTCCATCCCTCCCTTACCTTGAGGAACTTGTGGAGGAGGAAGGCAAACCAGTTGGTCAGCATCTTCTCAGCCACTGACTCTGTCCTAGGGAAGCCAGGAGAACACACCATCATACACGTGTTAACACACAAAATCAACCCGAGTATCAGCGGCCTCAAACCTCCCTCATACAAGGAGGGGAGAACAAAGGAACCCAGGGAGGGGGAACGGCCGGTGACAGGAGAGGTGGGTGCAGTGGGACACGGGGAGACACGACCCGCAGCCTGCACCTGTTGCAGGTTCTCAGGAGCTTGGTCCCTCGGCTCTGGGCAGGACGCAGAGGTGACGGCATGCAGCCTGCCGGGCTGGCAGCCCTGACAGCGCTGGTGACAGGGAGCCTGGTGACACTGGGCTCTCTGCACGTGGTGCAAATTACAGCCTGGCTGGTAAATCGCTGGGATTTGCAGCGTTGCTGGCAATCAGGGACCGCTGAGGAGCGACAATCGTGGGGAAATTGCAGCTCTCTGCCCAGCCCCACCTCACACCCGCTGCACATTGTGCCCGGGATTATCTCTAATTTAAATGTAATGGCTCCTAATGACAGTTTTTAATGCTGGCACTGCAGGACGGGGAGACTTTCCTTAGAGCACCACAGCCCCTTTCTCCAGGGCAGGGACAGGCCGTGGCAGGAGGTCCCACGGTCCACGTCGGAGGCCGAGCAGCTGCAGGGCGGCACCGAGACCCTTTCTGCTCTTGCCACCAAGCTGAAGCAAGTCACCGTCCCTCTCCTGAGCCGCCTTCCCCATTCTCCCCCATCCACACCACTGACCTGAATTAGGGACTGCCTCTTCGTATACGTTTATACGGCTTCTAGCACATTTGGAAACTCTTACCGTTTAATGGAAAACACATACTATAGAAGCAACAGGGTTTCATCACAATGTTTAACATGACCAACTATAAACAGGACCTACAGATTTCAGCAAATAAAACCTGACCCCAGCCTGCAAAGAGACCTGGGGTTACGTTAGCTATCATCTATAAGGATCGCAACATCTGCCAGGAATTTGTGAAAACGTCTGCAGCTCCCCAAAGAATTTAAGCCTGAACTGATTAACTGCCCAAAAATTCATCCTACAGTTTACACACTTATTGGTCTCCTGCTCAAAATATTTTGGTCATCCAGTCAAGGAGAAGAAATAGTAGCATTCAAGCTAGCCAGCGAGCCACAGACCGCAGGAAGCGAGGAGCCAGTTACACAGTCAAATTAAAGAACTGGAGAAAAACTCGCTATGTGAAAATGATGCATTCCAGACGTCAGGGTCAACGTTAATTTAATACTCTACCTTGTTAATAGAGTATTAAATTAAGAATGGCAATCCTCCTAATTAACACTACTAATGAACTAATACTGTGTCCAGTTCCTATTAGCTGCACGCGGCCTCCCAGGCAGCCTGGCGCTGCACTACGAAAACAGCTCTGAAACGCGGAGCTTGACAACAGAGGAGCTGGGGCTGCAGGGCACAGTCCCGAGGCGCGGAGGAAACCCTTCTCGTACCGCCCACGAAACGAGGGCAAAGCACGCTCCCGCAACGGCTCTCCGAGGGAGCCTGACGCCA